CAGCTGTATGGGTATGGCCGCCTTCGTGCTCTACCTCCTGCAGGTGAGGTCTGAGGAACCCCTGGGTCCCCCTGGGGTGGAAGGGACCCTCCTCTCCCAGCACCCTGTGACATCCCCACACCCCCGCAGTGGCTCCTGGGCTGCGGTTTCTTCCTCCTCCCCGGTGCCTCCTTCTCGCTGCGTGGCTGGTACAAACCCCAGCACGTCTTCTTTGGAATCGCCATCTTCACCCTCTCCATCGCCGCCTGCTTGCTGGGCATCACCGAGATGCTGTTCTTCAACATCAGGTGGGTGAGAGGGCTGGGGGGGTGGTTGTAGCCTCCCCCAAATCCCCCCTGACCCCCATCAAGGGGCTGCCCCTGTGGGGCAGAGCCTGGCCCCTGCTCAGGCTGTGGCTATTAAATCTCCCACCCCCCCGAGGCCTTTAGTTCTGCTGCTGCTGCTGAGTCACTTCCCAGATGATGTTTAACAAGGGCTGGATCCTGTGACAGTTTTCCTTGGGGACAAGGATCCAAACCCCTGTCCCCTCTCTGCAGATAAGTGTTTTCAGAAATCCCATGGGCCGCTCATGTCCCCAAGGGCTCTCCCCTCACAGCTGGATGGGAGGGGAGAGCTCCCCTCACGGGCTCACGGCTCTCCCCTCACGGTGATGGCCCATGGCCCCAGCTGCACATCGGGGTTCCCCTCAGCTCCAGCATCATGGGGACCTGCTGATGGGACACCCCAGGAGCCATGTCCCCATGGCTGGGCTGCCTATGGGCCTGTGCCAGCCATTATCTCTGTTGTCACCAAGACTGTCCCCAAAGTGAGCAGCACCCAGGCACTCCCTTCTTGCTCTGATTTGGGGGAAATGGACTTTTCTGAGGGTGCATGCCTGAAGGATGAGGATAAGGAGGGGGTCCCAGCCAGGGTAGGGACAGGCCACCCACACCCTGAACCTTGAGCATCCCCCTTGGCCCCCACAGGGACTCCTACAGCCTCTTTGTGCCTGAGGGTGTCCTGGCCAACACCCTTGGGGTGCTGCTGGTGGCCTTTGGGCTGGTGGTGGGCTACGTATTGACACGGGATGACTGGAAGCGCCCACCGCTGGCCGAGGAGCTGGCCCTCTCCATGGACTTCAAGACCCTGACAGAAGGCGAGAGCCCTGGTGGTGGCAGCCAGTGATGTCCCCAGCTCTCCAGTCCCCAGCACAGGCACCTCGTGGTGTCCATGAGATGCTCCTGTGTACCCTGTCCCCAGTGTCTTGGGGCTCTGCCCAGCTCAGGGTGACAAGGACAGCTGGGAAAGGACATGCTTGTCGGTGTAATGTTGCCGATTGGATTCAGCCTTGCTTGGCCTTCATCTTCCTCAGCTCTGTCCCATGCAGTCCCCAGTGACCCCCCCGAGCCTGTCCCAGCCCCACAGGGACAGCGGTGGCACAGGCAGGGGCAGGGGCTGGCAGCGGTGCTGGGACACAGAGGACAGGGGTCCCTGGGCTCTGTCCTGCTCTGGGGACCTGGGGTTGGGAGCCCAGACTTCCCCGCTGCGAGTGGCCAAAGCCCAAAGCTGGTTCTCAGTGCCACTGGGCAGAGGGGACATTTGCCACCACCGAGATGTCCCACTTGCTGGCAGCCTGTCACCTTCCAGCACGGCCACGCGTGGGGGCTGCTCCCCTCAAAGGGGTCCCCGGGGACTCGGAGTGACCCCAGTGTCTGTGCAGCTTCAGCATCTTCGTGTCCAAAATGTGTTGTCTGCTCAGTGGATGCTCCCGACCTAATAAATGTTTGCAAGTAACCCCGTCCTCCTCCCGTCTCTGCTCCCCCAGCTCATCATTTCAGGGTCCCCCTGAGCTCCCACGTGGGTGGGCGGCTGGGAAATGATCTGCCCGAGGAGCTGGGGAAGGCAGGTGGGTATTTGGGATGGGATTGTCCCATCCAGGCCCCACGTTGTACCACTCAGTGCTGTAGAACTCAGTGGTGGCTGCATGGGGACATCTCCAGAGTCTGGCCATGCACTGGATGTGCCCATGGAAGTAGGGGAGAGTCATTGCCATGAGGAGCTGCATCCCCAAGACAAGGGCTCATCTCTGCTGGAAGCCTCCCCTCTCCTGCTGGGTTACACCCCCCAGGCAGCCAGGGGAGTGAAGCTGCTGGGGACCCGAAGCTCCCAATCCCAGCACAGCCCCAGCAAAGGTGTGAGCCCAGTTTGGGATCTTGCTCACTGCCACCCTGATGTGCTGCCTCCTTCCAGAGCTGGGCACCCGGCCCTCCACCCAGATGGAGCCAGGGATGCTCCCAGCTGCAAAGCCAAGTCCCAGGATGGGGCAGGGATGAAGCCAGCAGACCCTTGGGTTCTCAGGAGCTGCAGAGCTGGCTGCATCCGCGGCACCGAGCGATGCTTTGCACGATTTAATCCAGAAAACTGCCCTGTCCCAGTTCCCCCCACCATTTCATTAACACTCCTCTGCTAAAGGCAGCAGTGGTGTTGCCCCTGTCCCCATCCCCATCCGCAGGCAGCAAGAGCCAGACCTGATCCTCACACTGTCCTGATGTCCCCAACTTATTTCCACGCTGAGAAGCCAAAGCACGCTCCTTCGCTCACCACAGTGTGGGGAAAAACACCAGGCCAGACGCCGTTTCCAAGTGTTAACCATTTATAAATAAGTACATTTTTTTTTTAATACATACAGTTTTCATTGTACAGATTACAATCTGTATACATTATTGGGGGGCTGGGGGGGGGAGAGGGGGGGAAATGCATTCTTTTGAACTTTTCACATCTATCTCACAGCTCACATGTACAGACAAGAAAACTCTGCTCAAGCAAATACAACAAAGGAAAAAAATATGTTTTCTTCTTTCCTTATACATGAGAGGCGAAGGCCTCCGCTGTCGGCAGGGGCTGCTCTTCCCACTGCACAATTATCACAACTGTGTGGTGTTCAATATATCAGTAGAGAGAACAGAACATGCATTGAATAATATACTGTACAGAGAAAGTCCTTTACATCAGAATTATAGAAAAGCTAAAGGAAAATTTAAGTGTCTTAAAGATCTTCCCAGCAAGTGTCTCGGAGGATGGCAACCAGGGAATTGTACAAAGCACAAGGGGTGTGGTACTGTACGTGTTTGTACCAAAACTCAGATCCTCTCAGCTATGAAGACAGAAGGGAGATGAAACGCTGAATGCAGAACGCTATGGGAAAGAAAAGGCTGGACAGGGATGACACCGGCGGTACTGGCAGAGTCCACACGAGTCTCTGGGTGATCGGTGGAGCAGCAAAATGGACTTTCCGTAGCACACAGTGCTGCTCTCGGTCTCTGCCTCACCAGTGCACAAGGCAGACCCATGAAGTGACCCCAAATCCCTGGGTGTGAGGTTTTTCTCACCCACCCAGCACGACCCCGACTTGCCGGAGGAGACAACCCGCAGCCCCACCGTCGTCCCCGGACAGTGTCACCCAGGAGGGACAAAGTCTTTTGGCAAAGCAGCCCTCTGTTTTTGCAACTATAGGATGTGATCCCATCAGATGGGATCTGGCTGCTGACTCCCCAGTACCCTGACAGCCAAAAAATGAGCAGGAGGAAAGGATATGGCGGGTGGGTTTGGTGTCCGTTGGCTTTCCCAGTGATGGTCGTGCTCGCCGTGTTCTCTCTCGGGTAGGTCTGTAACAGTTGCGGTGAGATCCATCTGTATCATCAGGAGTTGGACATGAACGCATCTTGCTAAAGAATTGAGCCCTTAGTGGTTTATATTAGAAAAAAGTTTGATTGAATGAAAATCCAGCAATTATTCACACACACACCAAAAAAAAAAAACCAACGCAGATTAACTTTCAACCATTGTGCTTTGTGTCCAACATGCACCCCACCAGACTTTGCGTAGAGCAGCCAGCACGGGGTGAAGGCATTTATCCACAGAGGTCCCAGCGGGTACAACAGCTCTTCCCCTAAGCCCTTGGTTAAACACTGTTAATCCCGGTAGAAGAGTTCTCATCTTGAATTCCCAAACGACTTAAAGCAAAGTACAACCACCAAAAGAGCTCGCGACAGCTCACCGTGGAACCCCCTTTGCAAGGAAGGCGGAGGACGAGCAGGCACTCCGGCTTGCTTTTCTCTAGATAAGGCGGAGCTGGCACTTCGGTTTTAGTTAGACTTCTTCTGGGTAACCCTGAATTTACAGCAATCTTTGGACGAGGGGACTGAATCATTCCAAATTTAGTAGCCACCCTGGTTCCAGACCTAATCCAAGTATGGCTCAGATGTTTGTCACATGCACACACAAATGGTCACACTAGCCAAGCGGTTTTCTGTACAGCCAGGTTAAAGAAAAACAAAACAACAAAACAAACCCAAAAAGTTCAGTGCTCGGACAGACCCACCTGTGGGCACCGGTGGCAGAAGGACAGATGGATGGACAGACACATGCCTCGGTTTATCAGCAGCTGGCGCAGGCTGTGCCCTCCCGACCAGCGACACGGAGAAGGCGGCTCAGGCTGTGCCTTTGGAAACAGATTCCCAGGGACCTCTTGGTAAACCCTTCCCATTCCCAAGCACTTCAGATGCCCACAAACCAACCATCATCTCCAAAGCTCTCCAGTCATTCCCAGCCCGGCTGGAGGGATCCCTACAGAGCCCCCCACCAGGCGGGTGTCCCCTCCCCTGGGCTGGGACCAGAGCATCCTCCCAGCCTGGGAGACAAAGCAAGAGCCGGTGAATCCTCACTGAGGGACAGCAAACACCCACACCTGAAGCTGCGTGAGAAGATTTCAGCTTTGTGGTGGCACAGCCAGCTCTGGGAGCAGTTGCAGGCAGAGAACCAGGGACACCTGGTGGGAAGGTTGGCTAAATACAGGGGTTGGCTTCAGCATCACCTACCCAACGCGCCCCAAGAACCAAACCCAGAGGTTTCAACATCATCAAGAGCCTGGTTTACTCGGTGCACCCAAGAATCCCACTTGCTCGCAAGACGGGGGCTGGTCAGCAGTGCCAGTGCAGCCAGGGAGGGGATGGAGGTGCTGGCTGGCAGCATCATCCCACATCTTAATTAGTGAGTAAGAAGGACATGGACCTACTGGAGCAAGTCCAGAAGAGGCCACGAGGATGATGCGAGGGCTGGAGCAGCTCTGCTGTGAGGACAGGCTGAGAGAGTTGGGGCTGTTCAGCCTGGAGAAGAGAAGGCTCCAGGGAATCCTTCTAGTGGCCTCCCAGTACCTGAAGGGGCTCCAGGAAAGCTGGGGAGGGACTCTGGAAAAGGGCAGGGAGTGACAGAACAAGGGGTGATGGCTTGAAAGTGGAAGAGGGGAGACTGAGATGAGATGTGAGGAAGAAATTCTTTGGTGTGAGGGTGGTGAGACAGTGTCCCAGGTTGGGCAGAGAATCTGTGGCTGCTCCTCCCTGGAAGTGTTGAAGGCCAGGCTGGATGAGGCTTTGAGCAACCTGGTCTAGTGGAAGGTGTCCCTGCTGCTGGCAGGGGGGTTGGAACTGGATGAGTTTTAAGGTCCCTTCCAACCCAAACCAGTCTGGGGTTCTAGGAAATGCACAGCACGGACGGATGAGACAGCACCGTGTCTGAAACTCTGCGCACGCTCCCACAACATCCAAGATGACAAAGTGAAAGGACATGGGGGGAGATCTGAGCCTCGTGCTCTGCTGAGCCACATCTCCAGCACCACGTTTCCCAACACGCAATGGCCTTGGCTTTTCTCTATGCCAAATCCAAATCATGACTTTAAGGACATGGGGGACTGTGTAAGAAACAGCTGTTCCAGGGGGAGGTGTGCTCCTTACCCACCTGGGGACTACAGCTGCCATCCTGCCTCAACTGTCCCTAAGAGAATTGCTGGGGAAGCGCTTTAAAACCACTGCAAATAATTTTGTATTTAAAAATTACTCAATCTGTTAATGCTTATATACAAGAGTCAGTTCTTGTGCTATAAATGTTACGATTCTTCGTTTCTTTTTCCTTTTTTTTTTTTTTGAAAAATACACTAAGAGACAAGAGCTGCTTTGCTATTTTTCTAATGAAGACACTACTCACGCTTAAATATCCAGTATTTATCATAGTAACAAATTCAAACAGTAAAGTGCACCCATTTACAGAGAGAACAGATGGGAAAGCATTAGTGCAAGAATCCCGTGAAAAATGGTAACACGTGGGATCGTGAAAAAAACCTGCACGCCGCA